CTAAAGATAGAGCAATATATTTAATATGAATGAAAGATATAAGGCAACATTCAGTAGGGACCGCGCCTGTATGGCCGAGCCACGCCATACCATCAACTCCAATTCATTCAGTTTCTTATTCCCCCTTCTCTATTCTTAGGTATTTCTCCGCGTTAAGTATTGAACATCTACTTTTCGAGTAGTCTCGTGTTCAGCTTTGAGGATTGTGTTGTCTATGACTTAAACACGACACAACCAAGAACTCAAATTGTATTATATTATCACGGACAGTTTAAAGACAACATGAAATACTTAATTGTACTGTAAATGTATTGTTTTTTCACCACAAGTTTGTGTGAACGACTTAGATAGGTCGGAGCAAGAACTAGAACAACGAGACATTCTGCGGCTCTTAAGCCTCATGTTTGTCCCCAATAAATGATGAAGTGTACAAAAAACGAGTTCTCTGTTAACTAGTTGCAATAGTAATAAAGTTTTCAAATCCATACTTCTACAGGCATCCGATAATAATACCGATTCGGATACTTCTCACGAGTTATTTTAATTAAAGGGTTACAGTCATTCATACACTTCACATCTGAAGATCTCTATCCTTACTTAAGATACTTTTCCCATCCCCTCAATGACTAGATTGCAGTCCCAATTCTCTCTTATCACCTTCAGATCAATATTATTTCTTAAATAAACAAAAAACTGATTTCTGTATTATTCTGGTATTAGGTTTGGAGGGTTTTTGCAGGTTTGGTGATATCGAAAGAACTGGATATAGAAACCATTCTCGATCACTCAGAAATTAAGGGAAAGTAAATAATATTATTTATGTCGAGTATCTGTTTCAATAATTAGTCAGAAAAAGTAAAACATATAGGTGGAGCATGTTATGCACATGATTTCGTTTCCTTGTTGTTGCTTTCTGGTTATGACGTCTTGATTGAGTTCTCCAAACATTTTACACTTGATATACGAGGCAGTATCTTAGTAGGTGTTTCATGGCCATAAAACTGTCACGGATATTCAGGACTTTGAAACACTTTCGTCCTAAACACTTTTATAATCGAAGGATCCTAAACTCAGTCGAACTAGAAATCGGAACTTAATGGGCTTGAAGACACATTCCGAAAGTATACTTTATGTCGAAAAGTGGTTGAACTAATCTGATTAGTTGCTGAGAGGGATGCCTGGTATTGAATACCCGATGGTTATATGGTAAGAATGCGTGACACAGAGCCTTCAGATAGATTTATCTCAGTAAAACGAATGAGGTAAGGGTCAGTTCGAAAGATTTACAGAACTTCCTGTTCTGGGGATGAATTCATCACTACAGTCGTTGGTAGTTAAATTCAACTACTACTCTATAACACTGTCAATAATCTCCAGTTATCATGCAAACTTTAAAATGGATTTCAAATTTCTTTCGAATCCTTATGAACTATATGTCATATTCATTGCGACCTCACCTGCTAAAATGGAAAGCTAGGCGATTCTAACATGTCCGCTAAACAGGTACGAATAGGATGTTTCTTTCATACTCAAATTATTTGAAATGCCTATGTAAAAGGATAAAAGAGCGTACGACGTCACAATATGATGGCTCCTACGTGCTAAAAATTATTATTTAAGTAAACTTACTACATGGAAACCAAAATCTACGGGTGTTCTTCCCCAAATTGAGCGTTGAAAATGAATAGCCAGGGATGCTTAGGATTCCTTTGATCATTAAAAAAGAGAATGCACACATAAGGTAACAAATAGGGTGAAGTATACAACTGCGTTCGATAATTTGATGTACATCCTTTTTTAGTTCATTAAAACAAACAGATCGTATCACTTCACATAGCACCCATTGAACAATTTGATCTGGAGATTATTCTTCCGTGACACCTGTAGTCAGGGTCAACACATTTGCAGCCTCTCGAAAACCTGTTTAGTCGATTAAAGTATAGTCAAAATTCGAGGCTTAAGGTTTAAGATTCTAGAGGTCTACTCAAATTGACAATATTGTTTTACATTGTCTTGAAAGCCAGATTATCTGGACGATTGGCTACTAGCATAAGTTCAGTGCCTTTCACGATGGTAAGTATGTTTGTATTCACTTCTATGTACATCGTAGCAAGTTAAAGTAGTCTAAAAAGATAGCGTGTTAACAGTATGTAATGATTATCCCTTTTTGTTCATGGCTATGCGCTAGTATCAGTCCGACTTTTACGCGCACTTCTTAAAACCTTCGCTTGTAGTAGGTAGTTTATCAAAATTCTAACTAACGTGGTATGAAACAGTCAGAAAGCGAGGAGCACAATATTTATCTAGTAAGGTTATCTGTTTTGATTTTGAAGAGCTTTTGTTTAACACTAAATTTAATTCAATCTTTGATACATAACCTCAGCGACTTTGGAGAGCTGCGTAACCTCCGCTTTTCGACTCTCTGAAAGAATTTGAGGATTGATGGTCTTAAAATGTTTCCGAATAGAGTTTTTATGGATTGATAGAGTTTTTCTTGTAAGCTTGACTACATGTTGGCTACTCGACGTCCTTTCGATGTTACCTAAACTGTATTGTGTTAATGGACTGTAATCCACTAGATTTTAGCAGTTAACCACTTTTAACATTTGGCAATTTTTCACGGTAAAGGTTTAGTTCACCATGCAGTTTAGTATTTTGGTGGAAACTAGTTTCTGTAGAAACTGTACGCGACCAGTGCTGGAAATAGCTACCATTGGTTGTGGAATATTCATTTTGTAACTCACTCCACTACTAACTATATAGGCTGTGGTTCCATATCTCATACCTATATATCAGACTAGTTAGTCCAAGTTGTTCCTTATCTGAGTCACCCAGTAGTGCATATAGCAGAACCTGGTAGGTGGTGGAAAATATTAAGAATGAGCAAAATGATTTGAAGAAAATGAATGAATTCAAGAACCAAAAGATTTAAAAGCTAGTTAAAATTCTTAATATGGGAAGACCAGCAGTAAATGCATTTGTTTTATGACGAACGACTCTAACCAATGGTCATGAAAGTAGCGTAGACCCCGACCTTACAGACTACACACCAAAATGCCTCATTCCAACAGTCAGTGACTTTACTGTCTGATCCTACCTTTTGGTCTTATCGCCCACAGATTTCCTCAAATAAACTCCTACAATAGCTAACGTCGCACGTAGTGGTGGACGATGGCTGGACTCACGTAATACATGTCCCAACTACCTAAATTGATTGGTGTCCACTATCTCGTCAACTGATTTGCCACCTCTACTTGGAGCTCTTTGTCTGACATCACATTCGCACACTAAACAGTCGCCAAAAGCGCTAGTAATTCTTCGGAGGCAACCTCTACTTCTAATTACTACGATGGATGATGATACTCCTAAGACAAGTGAAATGGTAGAAGCACTCGACTACTTCACTGTCTATCATCAGTCTAAGTATTAGTTCAGACCAGTCATGAAGCAACATATTGAATTTGGAGGGAACAAATTACAAACCAAACGTGTTTACACTCCTGCTCAAGACGATCAGAAGACTGCATTTTCTCAGAGTTTCTATCAAGACAAGACTATGCTACCTAAGTATTCAAAGTCAGCAAGTGATATTCTCATAGACGAATGTCTATGACGAGGTTAGACAAGAATAGGGACACTACAGAACTCTTACAAACACCACTAAATGTTAGCACTTTCAATGACAGTTTGTTATAAGCTCTGACTCAACCAGTAGCATTCGAGTATATAGTCTGCACGAGGCTGCTGTACTGTGGTGCGCTTTTAATTGACAGGCACTCCCATAAAATCTCGCAACCGACAGAGTCGAACGGTGCCTTAATGTCGAGAAATAAAACTGTGGTTAGGAATCAGTAGGTATGTCTGTATTCCAGAATTTGATGAGGGGTGAATATTTAATATACTCAGGTACTCCCAGGTCTAAAACCAGTCTGGTTTTCTTGAGTATGGTCTTCATAGACTCTAGTTAGGGAATATATTAGACTATACGCTGTGGTTATCACATAAGAGGATTTTGTTCTTGTAAACTGGGACGATCGGCGATTGAAATCAATTGGGATTATGTCCAAATTCTAAGATTACGGGTAAGATATTAGTAAATCAATCTGTTATGAATAGACCACCAACTCAGATGGTATATGTCTCAACTAATCAAGCTAAGGAATGTTCAGATCCCATTAACTGTGGTTAGGAAGCAGTAGGTATGTCTGTATTCCAGAATTTGATGAGGAGTGAATATTTGGTATACGTAACCACTCCAACTGCTAAGACCAGACCTCAATTATTAAAGACTTTCTAGACTATTACATCTGGACTATCCTAACCAATGTTTGGAGACTCTGGGTGAAATGGTTCAGAATAGATCACAATGGCGTTGGTGTATACACTCTTTGTCTTTTTTTAAAAGGTGATATTAAAATCACTTTATACCTTTCTTTCTAATTCTCTCTTCCTGTATTGTATCCTTATACATAATCTTTCTTTTATATATTACTGTAATTGCAGTAACTACTCCTATGAATTTGGTGTTCATCTTGTTGTGTTAATGAGGTATGGCAACTTGAACCGATGCATATATGTGCCTGGTCCTACGTTGTAGCTGACTGACTGACATCTGGACCTGCTGCTTTACTCCACTTTAGATAAACTATATATTCTGAACTTTATTACTACTCAGGGGACTTGTGTTGACATTCCATTGAATTTGCTTGGTAACAGTTAAAAACTGGATAGTAGTTTAAACCAGTTAACGTGTTCTTCAGTGTTTTTACACGTCGTTTTAGTCTACTGGGTTAAGAGTGGATAACTGCCCTATCTTTGTCAGAAATAGTCTAACCAACTTATAACCTTTTTAATACCTATCTACTTGTATGTCCGAAAAGTCGTCTATTATCGTCTATTGTGCTGCTTTTATCATCTCTCTTGTTTTCACTGCCCAATACTGGTTACGATCACTTCATGGACATGTCGCCAGTTTATGTCTATGGTGTCTTCACTCTACATTGTGTTCCAAACCTGATAGGATGAGTTTTTGGGTATCTATCAATTCAGTAGATAGTATCGAAGTCCATTGATATTTCCAAATCTTTTGGTTCAAATCGCTGGTAGATATTACAGCTGTTTTCACAGCTCTCCGGATATCGTGCCAGTCTACATTAGGGTAATCATTGCTTTCATGATTCTCTAACTGCTTCTCTAGTTTTTTCCGGGAATAGATCTTTGACTTTTTGTCAAAATGCTGAACACTAATACATTTTCTTGTTGCAGCTTTCTTGAGTTCAATAAAACCCCGGGGAACGTGCTCAGTTTAAAGCATTATAAAATTGAAAACATCTGCTCCAAAATGAACGAGTCTTCTAACAATCTTTTCGGACGATAGTTGATGGCAATATAGTCTATTTGTGTGCATCGACCCGCCGATTTTGAGACTTACGATGTATCTTTGTATGCTCAAACTTAAAGCTTACTAAGATCAAGTAGTTATGTGCTAGGGTTACGCTTGACCCTTCAGTTTTCTAAGAACAACAGAAAGCTCTATGCAAAACTCATATTTCGTTTCATCTGGACTGCAGTTATCTGAAATGTAGGCAGAGGAAACGAAGAGGTGTCACCAAATATATCTAGCTTTCTGTGCTCTTAATATCTCTTTTAGTCAGACAGCGTATAACAGACTATGTATTGAGATGCAGTCCAGGTGAGTCTATTCTACTTTTGAATGTCCAGAGATACACAGAGGGTAAGCCAATCTGGTTCTCCATTTTTACTACGTGACGTCCATTCAATGGCCACACTTGGGACCTACAGACATGTTTTGAAGCCACAGCACAAATCGACAGGATGAAATTCTGTAGTCCCACCTAAAGAAGCTTGATGTTCGATTTGACATACGGTTAGAACACTAAAACTCCAACATGTAGTTTGAAGCACAATTCGTAAGATCGGTTTGTTAGCATTAGTGACGCATGGTGATAAAGACATAGAAGAACAGTCGGTAGTGGGGACTGAATAAATATTAGAAAGTTACGGCGTTCGATTATGAAAAAGGTGGTCTTGAATTCTGTTGAAGATATAAGGGTAGTTGTCACATTCGGGTTGTACACAGAGTGGAAGGATACTTTTTCTTGGGGGCCTGAGAAAGAAACTGAATTAATGGTGACTACAGTGACCCAGGAGGTTGACCACAGAGCCCGAAGGACAACAGTTTGAGGTTAGTCGTGCAGCATACTCGTCCTTTGGTTAGCAAATGGAGATCTTGGAGAAGCCAGAGATGATTTAAGTTGGTAAAGGCTAACCGAGCTTTCTAAACCCATTTCGATGGCTTTCGAGACTTCCAAGTAGTCAGTACTCTCTACCACTTTAATGCCTATCGTCAGCGTAGACGTCGGCAGTGAAATTATATATATAATCCTTATGAACAGATATCCGCTCCACATAACCTCGAATGTATAAAAACTTTTGAAAAGAGCATATCCTTAAATCCTGGAATACTGATAAGTCTTTTCATAACATTGCTCGTATATAATAGAATAATCAAGTAATGCTGAATTTATGGGCGAACTAATTGTCAAAACTGGTAAGTCTTGATGAGATTTTAAATTAATAACTGGAATTGTTGGCTTTGTTGTCCTTACACCCAGACCTCTACTTAGCTATGTAGAGATGTGGAGGTTTTCTAGTTTTTGCTTGCGATAACTCACTGATACTGATGCATTGATTCCGTCTCCTGCGCAAAATTTCTATAGTAATGTATAATATTAGTTCTGTCCACTTCATTTTTTTCTCTTGACTCGTCATTATTTTTCTAGTTTTCATTATTGTTGGTAAAGTCATTCACCCTTCGTTGTTTTGCCTGCTCGTTAATTTGCTGTTGCTCTGAGATGCAATAAGTGAGATCAATGCATATTTGCACCAGGTCCTGTTGTATTGGTATTTATTTGTTATTGATTATCTCTGGTGGTTACAGTTTCGGAAATTAGTTTTCAGAATCTCGTAGTAATGGATTGGAAGTTTAAATTGACATTTGGTGTGCTCAGATCTCTAGGTATAAATAATTTGTACAGATCAGTGTGCTATCACCAAAATGTTGTCATTAAATATGATATAAAAGTGTTCTGTGGTTGCTAGTTTAAAGATCCTACATCTTAGAGCAGCAAAATATCTGACGTCAGAAAACAATAATATGCGAATTTAGTTGTTCTTAGAAGTATTTCGTATGATACTGTTTTGGCATACTATTTTAAGCGAATTCCGAGGGCTTAAGGTGATTTGTAGTTGGTAATTATAAAGTAGTTTTATGATTGCGTCTCATTCTCCTAATGTTACATTGCTTTTCATGAATTATCCTATGGACTTTACGTTTTTAGGTTGAGAGCATTATAGACAGACGAGTTCGCCGTGGTCGCGTGGAGTACCGTGTTAGATGGAAAGGGTTTCCTCCGGAGCAAGATTCTTGGGAACCCTTCACCAGTCTTCGCGAACCATGCCTTTCATTAATTCAAGACTTTCACATTCGTTACCGCAAACTTCATCATGGAAAAAGGCGTTACTCTCTACCCTTGGTTTCTCGTAGTAAGCTTTTAAAGTGTGAAACAGATGAATTTCATGACATGTCTGTAAAATTAGAAAAAGATAGCGATGACGACTTAGCTGCAGACAAGAGCAGTATTTCGTCTACCAAAAGCCAACCACCTCCACTTCCTTTTAAGTTAGGTAAGAGAAATACTGTACGGCCAACGTCACGTCGTTCTGCTCCAAGTTCAGTAGCCTTAAGTTCGACTAGTTTCTTTTCGTTACAACCGGAAACTTATTCTGGTCACTCGTCCTCCCTTCCAAGTTCCGAGTCCAGTGTTTCGCAAACACCATTAGTCTGCGATCCAGGTGCGTTGTTGAACATTCAAACACTTAACCGTTCAGATCACACGATACACCCAGACAATGGTTGGGTTCCCTGTGAAGTTTCTGGTGCTTCAACCGGTTCACTATCTAGTCCCAATACAATCCAGGCTGATGATGACTGTAAAGTTCTCACGGATAAAGTTCCTAATGCCGGACTTTCTAAAAATAACTGCGGAGATACTTCACAGCGATTACAAAAAACATCAAGATCACTTCCCGACCAATCAAACCGTAATACTCCCAAGTCTAGCAGACGCAAATTGCAGCCCAATGATGGTGCTTGTAAACAAAATGATTCAGTATCTGCAAATCAGCAAGTCTCTCAAAACCTCCTGAAAGGAGATAAGAATATAGGTAACTTCACTACCTCTGATACCCAAGAAAATTCTCTCCTCGGGCAAACACGTAAATCTGTTACGATTATGCTAAAGGCTTCTCCCACACATGAGTTTCAGAGCACTAGATCTCTCCACCGCAGTAATTCACCAAACTCAAAATCTCTTCCTAATACTGCCTCTAAACCGGTTTCCAAAAAGCGTGTTCAACCTACTAGTGCAACTTCAAAGGCGGAACTAGATGTTGATGCTTCCGAACCCTTACCATCATGTGAAGATCAATCTCTCATATCTGATTCTATCATATCGAAAGTCATGAATATCGTTATTCATCTGAAAAACCTAAGAAGACGCCCTGTACAAGAGATTGTCCTGGCACTTTGCCAAAAGCATCATAGTATTCCTGAAAGCCTCGTTTTATCTTCTCTAGATATCTTAGTTACACGAGGTCACTTACACCGTGTTGAGTCAGCCAAGGGTATATCTTATCGTTCCAACCCTTTTGTTGTGGCTCGGGGGGATCTAAAGAAACCTGCATCTTTATCAGCCAAAATTAAAGCCAAATATAATGGTGGAGTGAATGGAAAACGACCCAAGTGCACGACATCCACTGTACCTGAGTCTAAACGACCGAATTCAGTGGAGTCACCAAGCCATTCCTCATCTAAAATTGCACGAACTGATCCATCAACCAATGTTCACCAGCGCTCTAGTCGGAGATCTATAACAAATGGATCAATGGCTTCTGAAAAATCCAATACGCACTGTTCTTGTTATTCAGATATCAATGGAAAGATCTATTTCAATCAGTCTTCTGTTATTGTGGATGATGTACAAGTAAATCAGGATCATACCATACATCTTGACGGAGGAGATTATTCAATGAATGTTAAATCACCACCAAGTATGTAGTTCTTTTTTTCGTATCTTGGATAATTTCTCCACAATATTCTAGTGTTAGGTAAAATATTGATTTGAACGTTGACTAGTCACACCTACACAGTAGTTCACTGTATCTCACGAAATAAATGCAAAAAGTTTTGAACGTTGCCATTATTTGGAACTGAAAAGAGTTTACAGTTGAAAAGCTGTTAGTTTATAATCGATCCCTTGATTTGTGCTCAAAAAGTTGGTTGAATAGTGTTATAACTTATGCCCTGTGTCCTATTGATGTATAACGTAATGATACCGCCAATTAGAGAAAAGTGATTTATCAACAGGACCAATGACGCATAAAACCCGTACGAGCAGTCTAGAGTCTTTACTGGTTCTTAATTCTGGCTAGCCCTGCCTGTTAAGTCCAGGACACTAATCTCAGCCTCTGTGATATGAATAATTTATTTCAAACATACTGGATTTATATACCAACCAAACAGACTACATCGTACCACAAAATAGGAAACAACATTTGTACAAGTTTTGGCCAAATGTGGCTATGAATTTGAGGGACAGTAATTGATAGACTGGGCATAACCCAAGAATGGTAAAACGTATAGTAATAGTTCATAGGTCAAAATAAAGCTTGTGATAAGAGGAACACGAATATGAATAGTTAAGATATTTGACAATTATACGATAAAGATATACGTATAGTATTAGTCCAGAAATAGATTCCGACAGTTACCACTCATTATTCGTATTGGGATATAACAAATAGCCCCTTCTTAAACGCAGATACTTCTGCCCGTTCTTATTGAGAAAATATTTTGTAGAGCCGTTCTGTTTAAGAATCCTTGTAGTGTTTTTCATCAGCACTGTTCGTAAGGTTAAACAACCATACTGTAGTTGTGGTAGCTAACTTATGTTAACGATCCAGGCTTCACTGCTGATGTTTTGAACACAATATGGCATTAAAAAACAACATCTATAGTTTAAATCATCCCCATCTGATGTGATTGTTTTACAAATACTTATGTTAGCCAGCAGTATGGACTAATCAAAGTTGAATAAACATTTTTGGTAAATACAAAAACACTTGCCAACATTTTCAAGTAAATTCACGGCTTAGTGATCAAATTGTAACTTTCAATTATCTTTTTGTAGCTTTGAGAGCTGTTCTGCTCCAATATATCGCTAGTTGTTACGTAAATAAAGCCGAGTACACAAATATGTGTTGGCCAAGTTAGTGAATTCTATTATTTGTTAAGTACTTTACTCTTTTGACATTAAAGTTCTCAATTTTTTTTAATATACAGATATTCTTCAACAAGGCACCAAGATATTTATTGTACCTCCGGCTAGTCCATTAAACGAAACAACTTTTGAAAGTCAAATGAATAACTTACCGTTTCATCGATCTGAACAAGTTAGTTAACTTACATGAATTATTATGATTGGAATTTATTACAGACATTAATGTCTAGTGGCTTTTAAAAAATGATTTCGAAACTAACTTACGTTTAATCTATTAGAATTCGTTTTTTATCTCCGTAATATTTATCATAAAAGACAAGAGTTTGTTTAAGGATAGAAAATAACAGTAGTTGGACAGTTAAACTATTTTTTATTCAAATATCATCCCACACAACACATAAACTTTGTTTTTGTAATATATGGTTATTTCGGATGTAAATATCTTTCACAATTAAAACATTACACTTGTTTGAACGTATGTATTATGAATATTCTAAATCTTAAGTTGTATACGAATGAGCTTTTTTGCGATAATTGTAACTGATATAAACTAAAAACGTACAGACGGGTAAGCTATTGAGATAATTTAAACCCTATCGTTTTATATTCACAAACACTAGACTTGATTCGTTTGGCATGAATGAACTAAACAAAACAAAGAAGATTGAAGTATTTTGTCCATCATTGTAAAGTCAGTAAAGAGTTGAGATTGCATATATATAATCGATTGAAAGTCTTTTAATTTCTGACTGAAATGTATTTAAAAGTGAATGTAATTCTCTCTCTTTGTTCCCATAGTGTACGTGGTTTGCACTTGTAAATATGTAAACGGATTTTAGATACTTTAAACTCCTGATTATTGGTGAAAGTTTGTGAAATAGAACATTACTAGACTTTATTCCTCAAAGTATATTATTTCTTCATTGATACAGATCTATTTTTTATAATCGATAAAATGTAGTTGATGTGCTAAGTCATTGAGTAGGAAGTGAAATCTAGTCCAATCTTTATCTTTGAGAACTAGACAAATGACACGGCCAATTTTGAATGCGATAAAATCTATCAAACATTCCTACTTCGATGGTTCTCCACAGGTTTATTGATAGTAATCTGAAGCCAAAACGTCAGCTGAAAGTAAACTCACAGTTTTGAAAATTTTATTTATGACCTCCAAATTTAAAGGGGATGCGACGGCAAAAATATTGCACAACAGATTATCAAGATTTCTAAGCTAAACCCACTTAGTGGAGCTCCGAATTTTTTCCTCTAGTAAATACCTCATTTATAGATGTGCCAAGGATAAATTGGCATTTTGGGTCATCCCACTGTGTATCTATTGGCTTACTCGCTATTGTGGATCTGACAATATAGATTGTTCAAAGCATGCATTAACCAAACACAAATCCGAGCACTATCCATTTTTATCTGAAGGGGTATCCAAGTTAGTTAATAGCTCAGTCATCAAACACGTTCTCAATGTAGATAATTACCTATTTCATTTCTTGTAAAATTATTATCATTTCATATTAGCTTCAACTCATTCAGTACTTCAAAATATTTATTAGTTTTTAATTACTTTTTAAGTGATGCAACGCCTCTCCAGCTGTTATAAACCACTATATTCAGTACTTGATTATGTACAACACTTTCGTTAAATGACTCAACACTTTTATTTCTGACTACGATTTATAAAAGTAAATTTTAATACCATGTTGTGGTTTAAGTAAGTGATATGATCTAAATTAAAATTTTCCGCGGAACTATATTCTTTGTTGTGGTCATGAACCAATCAGTGTTAGACCGCCATTGAAAACCTGAAAGCATTGGGGGTCGTTCTGTTCTAGTGTGGGACTCCTCAGAAGAGCGCATTCACGATCTCACACGGGGCTCGGATCCAAGACCTTCGATACCGCGCGTGAATGCCTAACTTCTAGACTACTGCTGGCATCCAACGGTGTTAATGTCTAACTCCAATTAATCCACGATGTTGCGCGACCATCAACACAAATAAAATTTTGGGTGGCGCATATATATTTGGTGCCCTCTTGTACCAATATCTATGCGTTCAAATAAATAATAAATAAATCTTTGATTGGTAACTGCCTCATGGCCGATATGGTTAAACTCTTAGGACTACCTTTCTACACTAGTCACTAATGAATACATGATAATGATCAGTATGGAGCTGTAGAAATTGTTGTTTTTATTGAGATCATTCCAGTTTCCTATATCCACTACTATCATAATTCAGTAGGATAGTATTCACGATCAGTTCTCACTCAAATGTATTGTGTTTCGTTTTGATTGATTAGTCGATCACCATTCTTTATGTTATTTCAACATTCAAATGATATGCAAATGATCTTAATGATAGTAGTAACATTAATTGTATACTAAACGAGATGATTGTAAACTTGGAAAAACATAGTTCCATCCTGTAAACTGGGTTATATTAGTCAACAAATATTCTCAGATTGTTCTCTCATCCTCCGAAAAAACCCAATTTTTTTCCATTTCATCGACTCTGGATTTTTTATGTTTAGCCTAATCAAAATTCATGTAATACTTTGAGTTCTACATCTGGATCCAATCTCGATAGTTCAAGCATTCCGCAAACAAATTCAAGACGTAGCAATCGACAAGTAGATGTTTATAAATTCAAATCGATTTGGGTAAAGAAAAATGTACAAGGTGGATTTACAGAAGTTTGGTTACAATCACCTGGTTCTTTTCTAAAAAATGGATTTACGATCCAGGTAATCCATTGATTTATTTTTGTTTAAAATGAACCTGGCATTTTTAACCCCATGTCATTTTTCAGTTATCGGTTGTAACTGCCACAATGACGTGGTGGTTTAGCTTGTTCATTATGATAACTTAATTAAACCAAATTCGCTGGAACACTTGTTCCTTTAGGTCCTACCATGCTAGGCAGGTTAGTTGCAGACTAAAGGTATCAACCTAAATTTTGAGGGCGAAGTCATACTGCTGACTGTACAGAAGTATGACGAGAGTAAAGTTTTTCTTCCAAAAAACCAGTATGGCGATGCTGCCTTTTAAAATTGAAGCAAGGGGTTATAAACGGTCACTCTTGAAGGTCCCATATTTCACCTTACCGACAGATTTTCGTCTCCGTCAGTCACTCTTTCACAGTACGCAGCCGATATATCAGCAACTTGTATGACATTTGTGCACGACTAACCTCAAACTGTTGTCCTTCGGGCTCTGTGGTCAACCTCCTGGGTCACTGTAGTCACCATTAATTCAGTTTCTTTCTCAGGCCCCCAAGAAAAAGTATCCTTCCACTCTGTGTACAACCCGAATGTGACAACTACCCTTATATCTTCAACAGAATTCAAGACCACCTTTTTCATAATCGAACGCCGTAACTTTCTAATATTTATTCAGTCCCCACTACCGACTGTTCTTCTATGTCTTTATCACCATGCGTCACTAATGCTAACAAACCGATCTTACGAATTGTGCTTCAAACTACATGTTGGAGTTTTAGTGTTCTAACCGTATGTCAAATCGAACATCAAGCTTCTTTAGGTGGGACTACAGAATTTCATCCTGTCGATTTGTGCTGTGGCTTCAAAACATGTCTGTAGGTCCCAAGTGTGGCCATTGAATGGACGTCACGTAGTAAAAATGGAGAACCAGATTGGCTTACCCTCTGTGTATCTCTGGACATTCAAAAGTAGAATAGACTCACCTGGACTGCATCTCAATACATAGTCTGTTATACGCTGTCTGACTAAAAGAGATATTAAGAGCACAGAAAGCTAGATATATTTGGTGACACCTCTTCGTTTCCTCTGCCTACATTTCAGATAACTGCAGTCCAGATGAAACGAAATATGAGTTTTGCATAGAGCTTTCTGTTGTTCTTAGAAAACTGAAGGGTCAAGCGTAACCCTAGCACATAACTACTTGATCTTAGTAAGCTTTAAGTTTGAGCATACAAAGATACATCGTAAGTCTCAAAATCGGCGGGTCGATGCACACAAATAGACTATATTGCCATCAACTATCGTCCGAAAAGATTGTTAGAAGACTCGTTCATTTTGGAGCAGATGTTTTCAATTTTATAATGCTTTAAACTGAGCACGTTCCCCGGGGTTTTATTGAACTCAAGAAAGCTGCAACAAGAAAATGTATTAGTGTTCAGCATTTTGACAAAAAGTCAAAGATCTATTCCCGGAAAAAACTAGAGAAGCAGTTAGAGAATCATGAAAGCAATGATTACCCTAATGTAGACTGGCACGATATCCGGAGAGCTGTGAAAACAGCTGTAATATCTACCAGCGATTTGAACCAAAAGATTTGGAAATATCAATGGACTTCGATACTATCTACTGAATTGATAGATACCCAAAAACTCATCCTATCAGGTTTGGAACACAATGTAGAGTGAAGACACCATAGACATAAACTGGCGACATGTCCATGAAGTGATCGTAACCAGTATTGGGCAGTGAAAACAAGAGAGATGATAAAAGCAGCACAATAGACGATAATAGACGACTTTTCGGACATACAAGTAGATAGGTATTAAAAAGGTTATAAGTTGGTTAGACTATTTCTGACAAAGATAGGGCAGTTATCCACTCTTAACCCAGTAGACTAAAACGACGTGTAAAAACACTGAAGAACACGTTAACTGGTTTAAACTACTATCCAGTTTTTAACTGTTACCAAGCAAATTCAATGGAATGTCAACACAAGTCCCCTGAGTAGTAATAAAGTTCAGAATATATAGTTTATCTAAAGTGGAGTAAAGCAGCAGGTCCAGATGTCAGTCAGTCAGCTACAACGTAGGACCAGGCACATATATGCATCGGTTCAAGTTGCCATACCTCATTAACACAACAAGATGAACACCAAATTCATAGGAGTAGTTACTGCAATTACAGTAATATATAAAAGAAAGATTATGTATAAGGATACAATACAGGAAGAGAGAATTAGAAAGAAAGGTATAAAGTGATTTTAATATCACCTTTTAAAAAAAGACAAAGAGTGTATACACCAACGCCATTGTGATCTATTCTGAACCATTTCACCCAGAGTCTCCAAACATTGGTTAGGATAGTCCAGATGTAATAGTCTAGAAAGTCTTTAATAATTGAGGTCTGGTCTTAGCAGTTGGAGTGGTTACGTATACCAAATATTCACTCCTCATCAAATTCTGGAATACAGACATACCTACTGCTTCCTAACCACAGTTAATGGGATCTGAACATTCCTTAGCTTGATTAGTTGAGACATATACCATCTGAGTTGGTGGTCTATTCATAACAGATTGATTTACTAATATCTTACCCGTAATCTTAGAATTTGGACATAATCCCAATTGATTTCAATCGCCGATCGTCCCAGTTTACAAGAACAAAATCCTCTTATGTGATAACCACAGCGTATAGTCTAATATATTCCCTAACTAGAGTCTATGAAGACCATACTCAAGAAAACCAGACTGGTTTTAGACCTGGGAGTACCTGAGTATATTAAATATTCACCCCTCATCAAATTCTGGAATACAGACATACCTACTGATTCCTAACCACAGTTTTATTTCTCGACATTAAGGCACCGTTCGACTCTGTCGGTTGCGAGATTTTATGGGAGTGCCTGTCAATTAAAAGCGCACCACAGTACAGCAGCCTCGTGCAGACTATATACTCGAATGCTACTGGTTGAGTCAGAGCTTATAACAAACTGTCATTGAAAGTGCTAACATTTAGTGGTGTTTGTAAGAGTTCTGTAGTGTCCCTATTCTTGTCTAACCTCGTCATAGACATTCGTCTAGTGATAATGCTCTCATCGTTTAACGTTTCAGGGATTGATTTCTTACTGAGAATATCACTTGCTGACTTTGAATACTTAGGTAGCATAGTCTTGTCTTGATAGAAACTCTGAGAAAATGCAGTCTTCTGATCGTCTTGAGCAGGAGTGTAAACACGTTTGGTTTGTAATTTGTTCCCTCCAAATTCAATATGTTGCTTCATGACTGGTCTGAACTAATACTTAGACTGATGATAGACAGTGAAGTAGTCGAGTGCTTCTACCATTTCACTTGTCTTAGGAGTATCATCATCCATCGTAGTAATTAGAAGTAGAGGTTGCCTCCGAAGAATTACTAGCGCTTTTGGCGACTGTTTAGTTTGCGATCGTGATAACAGACAAAGAGCATTACATTTGTTGGGAGACATAGCCTAGAATCTCTTTTTACGGGGAAGATGCATTTACTCTTTTGCTTCCCTCAGATCTTAAATATTTTAAATAGCCTTTAATTTTTTTTATTTCACGGTTTTTGTCTTTTTTCCGGGATCATATTATCTCTTTCCTTATTGTTTCCAACTGCTGTGGTATGTCGCTCTGTCGAAGTTATGTTAAAACGCGAACCGGCCCATGTGTGTTCCAGGTTCTACGTTGTACATAAGTGGTTGACTGCTTGTTATTATAAAAATAATCGATATTATTACGGTTGTCTCATCTTCGTTTTAAAGCTTTATAAAAGTCTAACAGTTTGTAAGTAACGTGTATGTATATATTTAATAGGATACTCTTATATTTATATTGTATCATATATATATATATATATATATATATATATATATATATATATATATATATATATAACTGAAGTATGACACTTCTGTTTAACACAACTCGGTTGTTTTTAATTTTATTGTTACTAAGTTTTATATGCAGTAGTGCAAATATAATTTTTTGTCGTTTTGAATGCATAATTTTGCTCTAATGTTACCTTTTTTGATGTGTTTTAAATATAAAATCTTAATCGTATTAAGTGCTTGTCGAACATGTTTGTATGAACATATACCGTCTTTGTAGATAGAAACAATATTCCTGATAATACCCAACTTTGTATAACATCCATTTTTCATCATTCTCATTTTGTTTCGTAATTATAAATGCCATGTCGTGAACTACTTTAAAATTCGTATTTTGTTCATTTGGGTACTCTTGCGTCGTTCTAGCTTAGCAGTATATCCATCAAGGATGTACGTTGTCCTAATGTCGGCTTTTTACTCGATTACGTGCTTATATCGACTGACACTATATGTTACTATCTAAATTAACTGTGATCTTTTTGACAGTCCATCTTTCCAGTTTTTGTCCAATTTTGCTGTTAATAGCTCTATTGGATTTGCTCTAAATATACCGCTATTTTCGTTTTACTTCTCAGAAATAAATCTCTTACGGGCAGATCCTCTGATCGATCTAAGGTAAACAGACGACGTAATTTTGTCAGAAAAAGATGTTGGTAAGTTTCAGGGTCCATTTGAGTTACTTCAGTGAAAATCTGAGAATGTTAGTTATGTAATTAGCACCTGTCTAATAAGCTGACACTCAAGATGTGGTTTGTTGATACCCAGCTTAATACTAGAGTTAAGTGATCGAGAAGACTCCCCAGTCCACTCATCTTCAAACTATTTTTAACCCTTGTTTGTTAATAAGTAAAAGAATTATGTTCATGCATCCAACACATGTTTGACTTTTAGCAATCCACGTAACCTATGAAGCTTGCGATATATCTGAACCTCATCCAAACGTTATGCTCTATTCATTCATTATTACTTCGTTTTTAAACATTAATATCTATCAAATGCAGTTTTCGTAGTTTGAACTTGACTGAAATAGGAGAGTATTTTTTCAGTTGCATTGTTTATCAAACTTTCTTTAAACGACTATATATATATATGCTGCGTATTTACGAGAAATTTCATTG